CCAGTGATGTGGAACATTTTTTCATATATTTACTTGATGCTTTTACTTCTTTGTCTGACAAATAAGACACATAATTTTAAGTGAAGGAAATCAGACAATGAAAGCCTAATATCTGGTGATGTATATGAGAAACAGAAAATATGAATTAAGGAGTAAAAGAAAGGAGAGATGGTAGAAAATAAAGTGGCTTTTTGGTGATGGTGAACAGGTTCAGTGGAAACGGGGGAAGGTGCAGGGTCATGGAGGAAATAGCATTAAAAGTAATCACATGATATACCTGTGTACCAGTTCCCCAAAATGAAAGCAAGTGTCATGTATTGCAAATGTGTCATTTTTAAAGCTTCCTAATTAAGACTTCTATTTCAGAAAGGGCAGTTAATTCATAGTTAAATATTTATAGGGGCATCCAACCAGATCCCCTCCTGGTAAATCATTGATAAGGAAACACTTTATAATATGATTGATTTTTTTTTCAATATTTATTATATTTGTTTTACAGATGTGAAGAGGCAGTGGAAGTCCATCAAAATAAATCATGGCATCAACATGGAGAAATGTTTTTTTGGACTCCAGATTGTGATATGAACATGAAGCCACCTGGTTCGAAGCCAGCTGAAAATCTTATTTGTAGGAAACCCTTGATTGGTCATTCATTGCTAGATGTACCCATCATAGCTCACACTGTACTCAAGTCATATGAGTGCCAGGGATTTAAAGACAAACTGTCTAATTATGATGTGCATGATTTCCAGTCCCTTCAGAGGCATGCCAGTGTAAACACTGGGGAGAGATCCTATGAACATAAGCAGTGTGGGAAAGCTTACACTGATTGCAGTGTAGAAACTCACACTGGAGAGAAGCCCTTTGTATGTAAAGAGAACTCAGATGCCTTCAGTATGCCCAGTTATGTTCAAATCCATGAAAGAAATCACAGTGGAGTGTATCCCTATGTGTATACACAATGTGGCAAAGCTTTTAATTCCCACGACTATATTCAAATACAGGAAAGACCTCATAGCAGAGAACACTCTGTATGTAAACAATGCCAGAAATCCTTTACTAATAACACTTCATTTTGTACACATGAAAAAACTCAATCTAAGGAGAAACCATATGTATGTAAGCATTGTGGAAAAGCTTTTGGCAAACCCAGTAATTGTCGAATACATGAAAAAACTCACATTGGTGAGAAACCCTATATATGCAAGCAATGTGGGAAAGCTTTTAGTACGCATAAGTATTGTCAAATACATGAGAAAAATCACACTGGAGAGAAACCCTATATATGTAAGTACTGCGGGAAAGCTTTCAATTTCAAGAGTAATTGTAAAATACATGAAAAAATTCACACTGGAGAGAAACCTTATCTATGTAAGCAATGTGGGAAAGCTTTCACCAGACACAGTGATTGTCAGATCCATGAGAAAACTCACACTGCGGAGAAACCCTATGTATGTAAACAGTGTGGGAAAGCATTTAGAACATATAAGTACTGTAAAATACATGAAAAAAATCATACTGGAGAGAAACCCTACATATGCGAACAGTGTGGAAAAGCATTCACTTGTAAGAGTTCAATTTGTACACATAAAAGAACTCACACTGGGGAGAAACCCTATGTCTGTAAACAATGTGGGAAAGCATTCAGTACACACAAGTATTGCCAAATACATGAAAGGAATCACAGTGGAGAGAAACCCTATGTGTGTGAACAGTGTGGAAAAGCATTCAATTGCAAGAGTTCATTTTGTAAGCATAAAAGAACTCATACTGGGGAGAAACCCTATGTATGTAAGCAATGTGGTAAAGCTTTCAGGACACAAAGTGATTGCCACATACATGAAAAAATCCATACTGGACAGAAACCCTATTTATGTAAGCATTGTGGTAAAGCATTCAGTAGACACAGTAATTGTCAGATACATGAAAGAATTCACACTGGAGAAAAACCTTATGTATGTAACCAGTGTGGGAAAGCTTTCACTGATAACAGTTCATTTTGTAAACATAAGAAGGTACACTGCAGTGAAACACTATGTGTGTGAACCATGTGGGAAATCATTCAATATATGTGACGATTGTCAAATACATGAAAGAAATCACACTGTAGAGAAAGCCTGTGTATGTAAGCAGTGCGGCAAAGCACTTGGTAACTTAGGATAAGCATGTTCTGTCGACTACTGAGATAAATCCTATGGATGTGAAACTACGAATGAAAGGATTGTGGCGAAGCTTTCAGTATATGTAGAAGAAATCATACTGGCTAGAAGTTCTGCACATGCAAGAATATATTAAAGCCTTTAGAACACACAGTCATTGTCAGATACATAAAAAAACTAACTGTTGGGAAACCCTATGTATGTAAGCAATGACAGAAAGCTTTCTGCACACATTGTCATTGTGAAATACATGAAAGAACTCACTGAATACAAAGTCTAGAAAAGTGTTAACTACATATACTTACTGTCATATGTGTGAAAGAACTCACTAGTGAGAAACACCATATGTAAGAAATGAAAGCATTCATTACACACATGCAAAGATTTTACGCCAGTATTTATTGTAGACATTAAAAAATATCACAGAAGAAATTAACCAGGAGTATATAAAGGCACAATGACATGAAAGGATTCAGAGTGGAATGCAGCCCTTTGTAAACAGTGGGAAGTTAGTACTCACAGGTATCATTGTATACATAAAATAATTCAGAAGGAAGAAAATCTGAGCATATGTGAATAATGTGGTAAAGTTTTTTTTCCCCCAGAATGCATTCCAATACAATGCATCTCTCTTGGGAGAGAAGCCATTTTTATGTGGTAAATGTAGGAAACTCTTTACTTCATCAACTTATCTTGAAACATGAGGAAACTAACACTGGTTAAAAGCCTTATGTAAATAATGTTAGCCTTTTATAATTTCTATAGCTTCAGAAAACAAACACACTGAAAGTAAGTACAATTATAAGTTGTGGAAATTCTTCACATTTACATGACCTTTCATTTAAAAAGGAACGTGAACAGTGCAGGTAACTCCTCTAAATGGGCACTGTATGAGAACACTTCTGGTTATTTAGATTTTTTTTTCTTACTGAAGTACACAATATAGTGAGAAGTGGAAGGGATGCATGCAAGTCTTTAGCTGGCTTATAAGAATGCATATTGGATTAAAAATCCCAGTAAATTCTTAAATATCTCAGTTTTAACTCATTTTCAAAATCCTTTGAACATGTCTCATGTAGTGGAAACCTAAAAAGTATATTACTTGAAAACTCCATGTCAATTACTTTTGTGTAGAATGCTCCAGAAAGTACACAAAGAAGGGATACATCATACACTATAAAGGTAGTGTGTTTATCGGTAAATTTTTTTTTTTTTTTTTGGTACTGGGGATCAAACTTGGGTCCTTGT